ATATTACTAAGGAAGCCACTGCCTAGTTCTTGGTGTTATATTTGATTCTGGTTATGCTTTTAAAAATACACTGCATCTGTAGGATATCATCTCCACCTTGTAGGGTGTAGTTTCCCAGCTGTGCTCTAATTGAGGCCAGTCCACCATTCCATCAAGTCAGCTGCTTCTAGGTCATGGGGCATATGGTAATGCCAGTGGATTTCTTGGCTGTGAGATCATTTGTATATTTCCATGGCTGTAACATGTGTGCCCTGGTTGGAGCCTATGTTACGTGGAATGCCATGGTGATGGATATGGTATTCTGTAAGTCTAGGAATGCTGATGCTGATGGAATACTGTAGGTAGAGAAAACAAATTTATACCTGAAATACGTGTCTATACTTGTGAGGATTGAGTTTTTCCTTCGTTCAGTATTCTGAATTATGCAAAATTCAATTCTTTGTTATACAAATTCTTTTTTATACAACATACACTGTGGTCAGTTTCCTCCAGACTGGCTTCTCAAACTCTCACTGCTCTTCTACCCCAACTTTTTACTTTGAAAAGTTTCAAACCTTCAACTAGATTCACTAATTCTTAGAAATTTTGCCACATTTGCTTTCTCTGTCTCATGACACTTCATCCCAAAATACTTCAGAATGTTTCTCTTATGAACAAGACCATTATCCCACATAACTACAATTATCACACTTGAGAAATTGAACATGGATATAATACTGTCATCTAATACATGGATCATATTCAAATTTTCCCGAAGGCTTAATGTCCTTTATATTTGATTTTTCCCCCCATCTTGGATCCAATTCAGGATCATACATTGCATTTACTTTTTATATTTCCTTTAATTTGGGATAGTTCCTCAGCCTTTTCTTTTTCTTTCTTTCTTTGCTTTTATGACAATGACATCTGTAAAGTGCCCAGGCCAGTCATTTTGCAGAATGTCTCTCACTTTGGTTTGTCTGTTTATTTCTTCAAGATTAGATTTAGGGTAAACATTTTCGGCAGGAATACTATGAAAGAGATGTATCCTCTCAGTGCTTCACATCAGGAGACACATGATGCCAGTTTGTCCGTTTAATACTAATTAGCTTTTGATCAGTTTGATTAAGATGGTTTTCACCAGATCAGACTAGCTTTTGGTAACTTAGAAACCTGAGAATTATTGGCACTGACTTTCCAAGAAGCCAGAGCAGCTGTAGCATACCTTACCTATCTCCACCTTCTCTCATTTCTTTAGGGAGATGGCAGGAAATGGGATGCGGTGGTGTCACTCCTGATGCCCCTGGGTACAGCTCCACAGCTATTCTGTCAGGTGCTGTGGAGCTCAGGACGGGGATTATCCCCCGCCATGATCTATTAATGAATCCCTTAACGTGCGCATGCCTGCGAGTGCATGAAAGTAGGCATGGGTGCGGTGCCTACGCAGGTCTGCAAACTTGGTTCTTTTTGCTCGCAGCCAGGCGTCCGCGTGCACATTCCGTTCTTTGCAGGCCTTCAAGTTTTGACGCGTCGGTCCCTTTTTGTTCTAAAGCACATTCCACGGGTGGACTACACTGTATAGGTCTGAAGCGTTTCTGCGCGGATCCAGGGTTCTCAAGTGCTCCCCTCTGTCTGGGCTGACTTGGTATGGCCCACGGCCTCTCCTTCATTTCCTCCGACGGTGGTGGCACCCAGTCCCCCCGGAAGTGCTCGTTTCGCGGCCCGACATGGAGCGGCCCAGCAGTCCGAGCCGCTCGGGCCCGGCTCCTGCACCCGCCGAATCAGCCCGGTCCTCGCTGACCTTGTCGCAGCTCCTGCAGCTAGTGCAGCAGGGCCGAGAGCTTCCGGGCCTGGAGAGACGCCTGATTGCGGCGACCCAAGAGGAACCCACGGCGTCCCGGCTCCCACGGAATCCCAAGCCCTGGGAGGCTGGGGCCGAGCCCCCAGCGCCGCCGACCTTCGGGTAGAACAGCCCAGGACGAGCCCAGCTCCGCGGAGGCAGCGACTGCGGCTTCTTAAATAGCACACTTTGGTCAGAACCCCCTGCTGCGGACATCCGGAGGGCTTGTGTGTGTGTCCTGCGTGAACTCGTGACCCTGGACACCGGCGACTGTTATTCATCCTTTGTGCATCCGTCCTGACCTATCTCAGTAGGACCTAATTCTCCTGGGAGTATTATCGGGCTATTCTGTATTCATATTTCTTGACCGTGACAGTCAGCTAAAAAGAAAAAAATCCTGTTTCAGACCGTTGTGTGTAATTGAAACAAGTCTCACACAGTACTTATTTTACTACTTGGATGCATCAATGAGTTCTCATTTTAAAAGTGCTATATAGGCTGCACTAAGGGTGTCTGACCGCTGGAACAATTCCTTAGTAGTGTACGAGAATGTCTCATCCCCCGGGTCAGCTAGTTCTGGTGGTAATGGAAAAATTAACCCGGGATCCAAATGATCTTAAATTAAAATTTTTTTATTTGGACGTTTATTTTAGATAGAGCTGTTTTTCAGATAGGCAGTTATTAAAGGATTTGATGATAAAACAGCCTCAGAATGATTTCAAAGATATACTAAACAAAATCCTAAAGCATTTTCAAGTCTTACCAACAAAAACCTAGAACCTTGGCTCTTGGAACTAGCTGGGTCAGGCAAGGTGCTACAAGCTTAGAGTATAAGGAAAGCTCCCACAACCACCTTCTGAAGCCAGTCTTTTTACTTTTAACTAGGCCATGTGGTTAATTGCACCTACTCTTGCTCCCTAAAACTAGATTTTCTGACATGGATCAATGTGTGCCCCAGAAGTTCATGTATTGGAAACCTGACCCCTCATTGTAACAGTATTAAGAGGGTCCAATTATGGTATTTGAAAGGTGGAGCCTTTAAGGTGATTAGATTGTGAAGACTGTGCTGTCTTGAATGGACTGATCCATTCAAGGAGTAATGGGTGTGATTATTTTGGCTTTATAAGGAGAGCAAGGGAGGTTAATTCACTCTTGCTCAGCCTGTTCTTAACATGTGATACCCTGTGTTGTCATGCGAACCCTGTAGAGTTCCCACACAGATGTGTTCCCTGTATTATGGTCTTCCTACCCTCCCAAACTGTAAGAAATAAGTCTCTTTTCTTATAAATTGCCCAGTTTCAGGTATTGTTAGAAGCAGAAGAAAACAGACTAACACACCTACAAAACATGGGACATACCAGGTGTGTATGTTTGTCATGAACAATCCACATTAGCATACCCTAACCTAAAGATTATATAATAGGTCTAGCTTTTCCCAGAAAGGATATCTCACAGCTCGTTCAGGGAATGTTATATGATGGTACATTATACAGTAGTGCATAATTTTTATGTTAACCTCTTTATATACAATTATAAGTAAAAAACCATTGTTTTGCTTAATCCTTTTAACAACCAGGTGAGGCAGACAGGCTAGAGGGTACTAGCTCCACTTAATAGGCAAGAGAACACTGTTCCCCTATTTAGTATAAGACATATCTGGAATATAGGCCCTGGTTTTCCATACTCCTAACTGGTTTTCCCCCATGACTTTGTGATACATTTTAAAGTAATCTGATTTCACAATGCTTTACAGTATTAAGAGTAACATCTATAATATCTATTCCTGGCAGGTTAGCTCTGGAGCCAACCAACCAAATTCATTATCTCATAAACTGGCACTTTTTTTTTTTTTTAAAGATGACTGGTAAGGGGATCTTAACCCTTGGCTTGGTGTTGTCAGCACCATGCTCAACCAGTGAGCTAACCGGCCATCCCTATATAGGATCCGAACCTGTGGCCTTGGTGTTACCAGCACTGCACTCTCCCGAGTGAGCCATGGGTCGGCCCTAACCTGGCACATTTTAAGGCACTGTTATAGCTCTAAGTCAATTTCAGTTATGTTTGAGGACCCCATGAGCCAAAATTGCAACAAAGCTGATATGAAAAGACCAGGGAACCCAATGGTTAAGCACGTTTTCAATTTTAAACTAGGCCTGGCACATCCTCACCAACTACTTAGACGGCAAGCTGAGGCATCTAAGTGAAGGGAGCAGAGGGAAGGCCCACTTAGAGGTGGACATTGATTAAAAAACACAAGTATTAACATTCCCATAAACCCTGTTGCTGGTCTACTACGTCATTACCAGCACGACAAAAGGCAATACTTTGGAGTCCAGAATATGCAAGGAAAAGGTTTATACTGTCTGCCTAGGGCCTAAAAAGTTAAAATAGTGCTACTTTCATCCATACCAAACCAAGAATATGATTCACTCCTTCCTGATCTGGATTTTAAGGAGCGGACTGAACATTAGGGAAATCAGGAAGTTCCATCACAAAACCAGGGGGAAAATGGTGGTTATTTCTCAGACTTATAGACATGCAGGGGAAACACAATCAGCCACTGTGTTCTTAATAGAAAGCATCCACTTGTCTTGAAGGGAAAAAGCTATCTCAGTAAGCTTTGGTCTTCCACAAGACACGGACCCAGAGACTAGCAAGATCAGAATCTGGCTGACCAATCCTGATAAGAGGACTTCCTCACGTAAGGTGCAGCGGTCCAAGGAGAAGGGTCTATGAACGCCCCAAAATTCCAAACAGAATTGAGTATATGCCTGTTTTCCTGACAAAAGGGTCCTTCCTTTCTCATATTCTGAGGGAAAGAAAAGGACGAAGACAGTTGCAGGTTAGGATACAAAAGCCAGTAGATATACTTAGAGCCAGCCAAGTCTGAGAGCTCTCAAAGCCATTACTGAAAAGTCGGAACACAGACTCATAGCAGAGAAAACTGAGCACTTGATTTTATGCTTTATCTTTTTTTGTGAGTGACTGGCCAGTATGGGGAACTGAACCCTTGACCTTGGTGTTACAAGGCTGCGCTCTAATCAACCAAGCTAACTGGTCAGCTCTACGTTCTTTTTCCTAATTGTATTTCAAGTCTTTTGAAAACAAGACCCTAGAAACCCCCAGGTTCAAGGATGCCCCTGGGTGTGGTCCACTGCTGCAGGAGTCTGGGGGAATCTTGTACACATGCTTGGGTTATTTATTCACCAACTTTAAACCCCATGATAGAAGACAAGACAAAGCAGTAATCCTTCCTCCATGGTATGTGCTGATTTCAGAGAAGGCGAAGGCAACATGGAAAACACTGTAACTTTTCTTGGAACTGGGCTGTGATGAGAGGTGACTGCCATGAAAAAAACCTACTATCTTTTCCCTGATCCTTCCCTTCCAGTTCTTGAAGATAAAGCAGAAAATAATCTTCTCTGAAGATACTTGATAATTCCAAAAACAAAAACACATGTTTCCAAAGCTTTCAGATACTCTGAGGAAGAAAAACATAACTGCATTAACACAAATTAACTGCAATTTGGCAACAAAGAGTAATAACATTGGTTAGAGTGCAGACACCTAAAAAACAAGAACAGCAAAAAAAAAAAGCAAATTCAAAGAGTTAAGATTTCTTTAACAGAACAGACAATTGAGATCTTCAAATCCTTTTTGAAATTAGTCTTTAATATTCTCCCCTATTTCCAGCTAAATAACCACAGAATACCAAGATTTTTTTTGTCACTCAACATTTTCTAGCCTGTAACTCTTAGGAATACATAGTCCCATGTCCTCATCAGGTATTCACTCTTCCAAGCAGGTCTCCATCCATTAGCCTTGTAAATACCAGCCTCCTCTTTCCTCCCAGTCTCAAGGTTACTCTCAAAAACACTGGTAAATCCAAAAAGAGCTTTTAAGTGGCAAGGCATGGCCCATCAACAGTCAGCTCCAGGGCAGTTTTCAGCCCTGCCTCACCTGGGTCTAGTTCAGCTGGCGGATGAGTTGATTGATGCGTTCACCCCGATAACCAGGTGTGCCCACCTCCTTGAGAAAGCCCACTTTATTCTTGGTAGCATGACGGGCCACTGAGAGTTGGAATGGGTGCAAGAAACATGAGATCTCCTGGAAATACTTCCCCGGGAAGGCAATTTCATGAATGAGGTCTTCCAAGCAAATGACACCAAACCGCCCTAAGGAACATAAGGGCACAGGTTCCCTCATTCAACGTTTACCCAGCATACACTGAGAAGCTCTTATATGCAGGAGCTGGGCATTTTGGCAGGTTCTCGGGACCCTAAGAATACAACCTGGATCCCACATCGAGGCTGCCAGCAACCTCTGCTCTCTGTCCGAACAGACCCCTAAGCCGCACCACTCACCCAGGTGATCCTCAATCACTGTGTTGTCCGTTAGAGGGATGGTCTTATTCTTGACCTTGGCTTGTCCACGTTTCAAGATCAGTTCCCGGACAGACTTCAGATTTGGAAATCTATGTGCAGCAGAATAAAGCACAGCCTTAGCCAGAACTTGGCACACTACATTACACTGGCCACGAGGTCCTGCAGCCTGACTGAGGAGAAAAGATTAGAGAGGTTCTCCCGCCCACTCCTTCCCCCAAAGAAGTGCTCTGCAATCACATTCCAGCAGGGATGCTTGGGAATACACGAAGGAGGGGATAAAAAACTGGAGTGGCCTTGGCTATGTAATCAAAAATTGAAACTTATGGGGTCGAGCCCGTGGCGCACTCGGGAGGGTGCGGCGCTGGGAGCGCGGCAGGCTCCCACCGCAGGTTCGGATCCTATATAGGGATGACCGGTGCGCTCACAGCGCTCACTGGCTGAGCGCGGTGCAGCCGGTCTCAAAAAGGACAAAAAAAAAAAAAAAAAAAAAAAAAATTGAAACTTATTGATATAAATATTCACCAGGCAAACGAAAACAGAAACCATTTCATGGCTTACAGCCTAGGACTCTGGCCTTGGGTGACCCTCTACTCAAGACGGTGCAAGAGCTGGAATTAAATCCAAGATTCTGTCGGGTTTTAACATTTCAGGAATACTAACTACTCTTACACAAGCACTCCCCCAAGCTCTCCTTCTGAACTCCTTTCATGTCTTTGAGGTCTCAGGTTCAAGTTCCTGCCTTCAGAGTGGGTGTCCTCAAAACAACCCTCCACCCCCAATCCTGCACTTTATCCCCATAGCTTAAGTGCTTAGGTCAGTCTCCCCAACCTTGCAGACAAAAACTGTCTGTTGTGAACACTGAATTCCTAGCACAGCTTGCCTTAGGCTCTTAGGGCCTCCTATCTCCCCATTTCCCCAGAAAGGCATCTGAAGCTGAACCAACAGTTTGCCCCAGCCTCACAGAATCGGGAAGACACCAGTTCCCTACCTCTGGATGCGTACAACAAAGGCCAAGGAATGATTATCTGGCATTTCCAGAGCATGAGGTTTCACTTCTAGTCGTCTGAGACGCACCATGTCGCGTTGCTGCCGCCAGGAATCATGTAGGAATGATTCCAGTCGCTTAAACCTGAGCCCTTTTCCTTTTCTTTGCTACAGGGAAGACAGACCGTCATCACCATTTTGTGCCTCTATTCTCCCCATGTGTTCTGCAAAGGGGAGCAAATGAATATCCTCTATTCTTATATAACGGAATAGTGAGAAATCCACGGAAAAGTGGAGCTGAGAAAAGTCTGATAAGAATAAAAAAATTAGATTACTTGTCAACCACTGTTTACCAAGTGTTTATGAAACCTAACATCATATTAGGGACCATAAAGTACAGAAAAGCACGAGCCAAATATACTCATGCAAATGCCCAAACACTTAAGTTTTTTTCTCTAAAGACATTTAGCAAATAGCAAAAATTGTTCAGCACATTTTTTTACGAATACATCTCTGCCAGGTTTGGTTTCTCAAATCACTCAACATGAACCTAGAAAAAACAGTCTCCACTGCACTTTTTTCTTAACAAGCTCTACTCCAGCGTTTTGCCAGCAGAAGGTGTTGGATAAATATTTGCTAAACGAAGACATAAACCAAATACCTGGTATATTGAACCGATGGGAGAGCGGCTTGTCGATGCCAAATTTAGTTGAACGTAGGCTAGGTAAAACTCACCAAGTAGGGCCGGCCCGGTGGCGCACTGGATAGTGCGCCGCTTGGGAAGCGCGGCGGCGCTCCCGCCCGAGGGTTCGGATCCCACATACAGACCGGTTCCTGCTCACTGGCTGAGCGAGGC